ACGCGCCCGGCGCACTCATGGTCGCGCCTGGCGTGGCACAACCAGAGGGCTCCAGGGGCCAGCGCGCCCGGTGAAAGCGTGCCTCCGCCCGGCGAGACTTAGTCAGAGAGTCCAAAGCTCTTTCGTGCCTGGCGCAATACCCGATTGTGCCCAGTGCAGGCCAGGCAGGGACCTCCCTTGGTCTCGCGCCCAGCGCAAACCAAATTGTGCCCAATGTCCTCGAGGCAGAGACTCCCAAGGAGTCTCACGCCCAGCGCGACAAGGGCCGCGCTTAGCGCAGCACATCAATATCATCATTCAGCTCAATAATCATTCATCGTTAACAGCTTAAAACAACATGACCAACACATAATACGACCCAACCATCTTGTTTACAACTCATCTATCTTGTCAAATTACTCACCCAAACAACAAGAGTACACCTAAGCACATACATCTGGGTTTGAACTTGGAATTATATCATCTCGCAGCTTGGAGCTTACATGCTTCTTCTTGCACCCTAGCACACTCCCTTGTCTCCTCAATTAAGTTGAGGTTTATGTTCAATTGCACTTCATTATGAGATTCATCAAACGTCAATCTTCTGTGACTTGGTTCACCAACTTCAACAGGTATCATTGCATCTGAGCCGTAGGTTAACCTATAAGGAGTCTCTTGAGTGGTGGTCTGCGGTGTGTAATGGTACGCCCACAAAACACTAGGTAATTCTGGAACCCATTCTCCTTTTGACGATCCTAGCCTTTTCTTAAGTTCTCGAAGAATCACCTTATTCGCTGCTTCAGCTTGGCCGTTTGTTTGTGGGTGTTCTACTGAGGTGACTTTGTGATTGATCCCAAGTTGCGTCAAAAATTGTTCATAATTTTTGTCTACAAATTGCTTGCCATTATCTATGGTGATTGCTTGAGGTAGGCCATACCTGCAGATGATTTTCTTCCACGTGAACCGTTGCACATTAGTTGCTGTAATTCGTGCTAAAGGTTCAGCTTCAATCCACTTTGTGAAGTAATCAATCCCTACAATCAAAAATTTCAATTGACCCTTGGCAATTGGCAAAGGATCGAGTATGTCCATACCCCACCACGCAAAAGGCCACGCTGATTGCATTGAGTGTAGTGCTGTTGCGGGTAACTGATGTAGGTTACCAAATTTCTGACAAGCTTCACATTTTTGTACATATGCTTTACAATCTGATCTCATAGTTGGCCAATAGTAGCCATCTCGGATCACCCTTACAGCCATGGACCGAGCTCCGGAGTGCATACCACAAATACCTCGATGGATCTCGTCCATCACATATTTGGCTTGATCTGTGTCTAAGCATTTGAGGAGAGGCATGGAGAAACCTCGTTTGAACAACTCGTCGGCTTCGATTGTAAAGTTGCACGACTTGTTTTTAACTTTAGAAGCTTCCACCTTGTTATCTGGTAAGATGCCATGCTTGAGGTATTTCCAAATATCGGCCATCCAACCTTGCTGATAAGAACTATTGGCAAAGACTGCTGTAACTTGGCAACTAGGGGCCGCTATTTTTTCTTGGATGATCGTCCGATGTTGGCCTGGACGTTTAGTACTGGCAAGTTTTGATAACAGGTCGTCCCTTGCATTCTGCGCTCTTGGGATGTGCTCTATTTGGAAAGCATCGAAAAAAGATGTTAGATGAGATATCATAAGATTATACCTTTGCAGTTGGGGTTCTTTGGTTTGATAAGTTCCTCCAACTTGTTCTGTAATCAGCTTGGAATCACTGCAACACTTGAGTCTCCTAACGCCAAGGTCTTTTGCAAGTGTTAAACCTGCTAACAAAGCTTCATATTCAGCTTGGTTATTGGTGGCTTTGAAGTTGAATTTGATAGCAAGTTCAAGCATCACGTCGTTTGGCCCTTCAAGAATAATGCCAGCACCACTGCCTTTCACATTAGAGGATCCATCTACATACAATGTCCAGATTTGTTCATTTATAGGTGGAACAGGGGTGAGCTCAGCAACGAAATCAGCCAGACATTGGGCTTTTAGTGGTCCTCAGCTTTCATACTTGATACCGTACTCGGATAGCTCGACTGACCAAGCTATCATCCGTCCGACCAGGTTGGGTTTTCTGAGTATTTGCTTGATCGGGTAATCCGACTTTACAATAACCTGATGACCTTGGAAATATGGGCGAATTCGGCGAGATGCAACTACCAATGCCAAAACCAGCTTCTCTATTGTCTGATACCGTTTCTCGGTGTCTTGTAGTACTCGACTGATAAAATAAATAGGAATTTGCTTTTTGTCATTTTCTTGTACAAGTGCGGCACTAAGAGCGTTATCAGCTGCTGCAAGATATAATAGGAGATCAACTTGGCCGTTTGGTTTTGACAAGATGGGTGGACTCGACAAGAATTGCTTGAAGTTGGTGAAAGCTTGTTCACATTGGTCACTCCAACAGAATTCTTTTGGCTTCTTGAGTAAATTGAAGATTGGCTTGGCCTTCTCTGCCAGCTTGGGAATGAAACGAGATAACGAAGCCAGTCGGCCTGCCAACCTCTGTACCTCTTTGTGGTTCTTGGGGCTTCTCATGTTTATTAGGGCTTGGCACTTGTCGGGGTTTGCTTCAATTCCTCGGCAAGTGATCATGAAACCTAAGAATTTGCCTCCTTGAACGCCAAAGACACATTTGTCTGGGTTTAACCTCATGTTATATTTTCGTATTTGCCCAAACATTTCTACAAGGTATTCGATATGATGCGCAACGGATTTCGTCTTGATAACCATATCGTCAACATACACTTCAAGGTTACGACCGATTTGACTGGTGAAGACATTGTCCATGAGTCTTTGATAAGTGGCTCCTGCATTCTTGAGTCCAAAGGGCATGACATGGTAACAATAATTGGCTTGTTCTATGATGAAAGCAGTGTGTTCTTCATCAGGAGGGTACATCAATATTTGGTTATAGCCTGAGTAGGCGTCTAGGAAACTGAGCATGGCATATCCTGAAGCTCCATCAACCAATCTATCAATGCTGGGAAGTGGATAAGCATCCTTTGGGCAAGCTTTATTTAAGTCCGTGTAGTCAACACACATGCGCCATTTGCCATTGGATTTTTTAACCATCACCACATTGGCTAACCAAGTGGTGTAGTTAATTTCTCGGATAAATCCTACACTCAAAAGTTTCTGTGTCTCGACCCTGACGGCTTCTCTTCTTTCTCCTCTAATTTTTCTTTGTTTCTGAGATATAGGCTTTGCCTCCCTATGGATGGCTAATTTGTGGCAAATGAAGTTGGGATCGATTCCTGGCATGTCTGCACTACTCCATGCAAAAAGATCAGCATTTTCAATAAGTATTGACATGATTTGACCTTGAACTTCAGTGTCAATGTGCTTCCCAATCTTGGTGCACTGGTTTGGCTTTTTACCAATCTGGAATTCGATTAATTCATCCAAAGGGTCAGGACGGCGATCATGCATATCAGCTCAGGGATCAAGATCGGCTACTTCTTCTATACCGAGGTGTGCCACGACAGAGGAAGTTGAGACCTTGGGTTGATTGGTTGGTGTAATCTTCAAGGGTGCAATCTTCAAGCTTTGAGCGTAACATTGCCTTGCTATCTGCTGGTTAGCTTTTACGGCTATAATGCATCCATCTGTGCCTGGGAACTTCATAGTTAGATGAGGTGTTGATACGACTGCTCCCAACTGATTCAATGTTGGTCTCCCGATAAGGATGTTGTAAGAGGTGGCAGTGTCAACCAACAAATACTTCCTCCTTCCGGTCAACCTGCGAGTTCGACTGATGTTGTCCCTTCCGACACTCCGTTAGCTTTTATTCCTCCAGATGACATAGACCTTATAAGCTTCTTTGATGACGAATCGGAATAGTTCCACAAATTATACTTGCAGTTTAAACAAAATAATTCCAACATGGACAAAGCTGGCAAAGCTGGCTAATATAGATAAAAGGAGGGGTGAGGGGTTAATATAGACTTAATATAGTTAGTTATTAACTGCATTTCGTGTAAAGTCAGGTGATTTCCCTATCATTCTATCTAAACATCGTCGTTAGAGGCAAAGCTGGCTGAAGACTTTCAAGTTTGAGGTCTTGTGCATTCACGAGAAGAGAAGCCAATTTTCAGTAGTTACAACTTACAAGACCAACTTCGGTAGGCCGGTACTTGGTACCAATCGGCCATATGCTCTACATTATACACTGACATGCATACCTAAATTTAGATTTATATATTAAATAAAATATTTGCTGTAAGATCAAACGCAAATGTAAAGTTTACAAATATTGGAAGCCACTAGAGAGAAAATAATCATTTTTTTAATAGTAAGCTCTAAATAGATTTGTACTATTCCATTCCAAATAACAATAACATCATGCATCCTAACTCAGAAACTAATGGATTCCAAAGCAAACACGACCAGATTCCATCACATTCACATCATAAGAGAATTAGAAGTTTAAATGTAACTATTGAACTTAATGACATTGCGCCATTCCGCGAACAATGACTAGTTATTCGTCGCTTCCTATAACAGCCTTAAGAGTATACTTAATCCACACAATTACAAGATATTAAAATTATGTATTTTAATAAGCACGCTTTCGACTCTAAGTCACATACAGAGAGACACAACACAAGTATGGCTAAGGTAAGGAAAATGCAAGAACAATGATTAGCATTGGTGCTCAGAAAAATTATCCACTATTGATAAAAGTAATTGCCATGGCCATCCCAGCCTCCAATCAAGACCCTCAAAGTAGACTTCAGCCTAGATGCTTTCCCTAAAATAGCAGCCAAATCTCCAAAGAGAAGCAAGCAAGGTGACAACAGCCAGCAGCACCCCCAAAGTAACTTAGTTTATAACAATTTCTTTTGACAGTAAAATAAAATAACTTAGTTTACTTATACACACATCCATAAAAATGGAGATGCATAAAAATGAAATATCCAGAAAAAATCCGAAAAAAATCACGCAAGTTACAAATACAATATCTAGAAAATTGACCCTTAATAAAAACGACCAATAATTGACCCTTGCATTTTATTATGAAAAGGTAAAAAAAATTTTACAGCGATGAAAACACCTCTCATCTCGTTCCGCTCAGTTCCGTCCTGTTTCGTTTCTTTACGTTCTGTGCCGTTCCGTTCTGTCCTGTTCTCAAAGGTGTTTCTTCAGCCCCATCTCTGATCACCTCTGACCACCAACGCTTTAGTGAGAACTCACACTGCGTGAGACATAGCATAGAAAAATGCAGAGCAAGTTCATCAAAAGCTTCGAATACATTATAAATAAGTAAAGAACAAAGAGAACCACACAAGCTATTTTGTGTAGCAGCAGCTGTAGAAAGCAAGCTATCATAGCAATCTCTCATATAAAAAAAGAAGCAAAATCGCGCAAAAACCCTTATAGTGTGTTTGGATGGGGAATTTAAATGGAGTAATTCATTTATTTGAATAATTTCAAATTCTTTGAGGTGAAATACCTTGTTTGGATGAAGAATTTATAAGGAATTTGAAATTCAAGCATTTGTAAAATTCCTTGAAATAGTAGAATTTCAAATTCTCCCAAAAAAGTAAGAATTTGAAATTCCTCATATTTTCTTTCTTATTTCACTTATATATTTTATCTTATCTCTTATTTCTTCAAGTTTTTAATTATTGAATATTCAAAAATATTTTTAAAATTATTAAATATTATCTAATATTAATTTTAAAAATTATTATAAATATTTAAAAATTAGCTAATATTTATTTTTATAAAATTTAATTTAAAAATATCAACATATAAATATATTTTTAAAATCAATTTTATCATGGTGGAATCAAATTATCATATCCAACCCAACAATTTAAAATTTGAGAAATTTGAATTGACTTATCCAAACAAAATATTTTAAGAATGATAGAAATTGAAATCAAAGTAATTCAAATACCAAGAATTTAAAATTCCTTGAATTTGTAAAATTCCTCAACATTTTTCACAAAACTCCCAAACGCTGACAACTTCAACAATTGATTAATGGAACAGGATAATCGAAAAAGGTGCATGACTAATTAGAGAAAAAAAAAAAAGAAACCTTGGCAGGGAGAGCGAGTTTGTGGAACTTAACGGTGGGGTTTGCGCACGAGAGGATATGGTGAAAATTGAGAGAGAACACGGGCTGCACGAGACGCTGATAGCTTGCGAGCGGAGAGAACCGAGAACTCGAGGGTTGTGGTGGGAGATTGAAGGGCGCTGATGAATTGAGAGGGAACGCGCGGGTTAATCGTGTCTATTTATTTAAGTCAGTTCTACAATAAAACCGTCGTAGATAAGTTTCTATAAGCCATTCTACTACGTTAACTATCTAAACCGTCATAGATTATGTTCCTTTTATTTACAAAAATGCCACCGCCTCTTATTCTACATCAGGTTTTAGTAAACTAACTTAAATTAAGTGACTTAGATCATCCAATTTGTAGTAGTGATGTGAGTCTCTGGATGGCCCACGCCGGGCGTGGTGGGATAGCGCTAGGCGCAATATCAGTGGATGACTCAAGTTTTGTGGTTCTGGTGTGACGCCGGGCGTGACCTTGTCTCGTCGGGCGTGGAGACTCCTTGGGAGTCTCTGCCAGAGGTGGCGCCAGGCGCAATTTGTATTGCGCCGGGCGTGAGACCCTGGGAAGGTCTCTACTTTCTTGCGCCGAGCGCGAGATTAGCACGCCGGGCTTATAAGACCTCGTGAGGTCTCTGCCTTCCCTCACGCCAGGCGCAATAGGAATTGCGTCGGGCGCGCTGGTTCCCTGGTACTCTCTGGTTGTGCCACGCCGGGCGCGACCATGTGTGCGCCGGGCGCGCGCATGAAGTTGTTGAATTATGCTGAAATTGTTGAGTTGAGATGTAATTGATGAATAGGCTGTGCTGACTAGATGGTCATGCTGAATAATGATGTTAAGCTGTTATAGATGTATATTGTCGTGCTGAGCCGTGCTGTAAGCCGTTATTGCTGTATGATGAATTGTTGTGTTGTGTTGTATGCTGATATAAACTGTTGTAAGCCGTAAAGCTGAGCTGTTGTAGGCCGTAAGGCTGAGCTGTTGTAGGTCGTAAGGCTGAGCTATTGTAGGAGATCTCCGAGCTAATATGCATGACGACGCATTGTGTGCTTATTGCCGTGTATGCTGTTTAGCTGATGAGATGTATGCTGATGATGTGCTGATAGCTGTAGCTGTTCATATTATTTAAATGTGTTTTATATGCTGATTCTTTACACTAGCTTACCCTTTGTTGTTTCCATGTGTTTGGACTGCGATGATCATACATTGTATGAGAGCAGAGCAGGGTTAGGTCAGTGAGTTGAGGCAGGTCTGCAGCTAGCAGATGGAGCATTATTTTATTGATGTTTTGATGTTTTGGCCACTAGTTTGGCTACTTTGGGCTGTATTTGTATATTCTGATGTAGCTTAGATTGGACCTTGTATATATGTATATATTCTAGACACTATATGTATATACTTGTTCTTTTCTGTGTGCATGCCGTTGTTGTTGGGTAGTGTGTGGTGACTAGCCGGGTCGTTACATCCTTTTTTAAAATATTAAATTTAACTTATAATTTGTAAAATTGAATGTTTATCTGTGATCAAATTTTATTAATGACGTTAATATTAATTTAAATAAAAAAAATTATATATATATTTTTATAATAACATACTTATTTCATTTTCTTAGAAATTTGTTGAACAATCCATAATGGTAAAAGGCCAAACTCACACAAGAAATAGACTTGATCGAGTGACTAATAGTGTGTTTGTATTATATTAAGTTACATCCAACGAAAAAATTATGTGTGAGACAAAATACGTTAAAGGTAATTAGAAATTTAAAAATATAGGAAAACAAAGATGCAGTAAATTTGTTTCTCTTGCCAACAAAACAAACATTATAATTTGGTCTAATATTTAACAATTCCTTTCCCTGAGATATGATACAACCGAACACCATAAGATCACAAGCCTAGTTTTCAATAACGATGGTGTCAATCTCTTTGGTTTATCAACCAAGTAAGAGCTTAACGAAGCGCTGTTGCTTCTTCCAGCTACTGCATGCAATGGCAAAACTCTCCCATGCTCATCACGCAAACCGAAGCACTCTTGCCTCTTGGTCTTCGAAAAAAGCGGCGTCAACGTTGCATTTTAGATTTCCACTCGCAGGAGGACACCATTTTCCCATGGTTTTTCTGGTCTTCGGCAGACTAACCTTGTCCCATTCAATGAGATATTCTCTTTCTTGTTCAATTGTTTGCCATCATGGAACATTCTTCATAAAACAATAACAATAAATTGAATCATTTAAAATTACTATAAACAATTTCAATCCTAAAAAATATATAGATAAAAAATATAATTTAATCTTTTCTTTTATCTATTTTAAAAATATTAAATATAAAATATATGAGTCAAATTTCATTACTAGCTATCATATATAAATTTAAACATTTATATAAAATCTTATATTTTTAATAATTTTTTATATAATAAAATTTAATTAATCAAACCGTTGAAATATATGATTTTATACTTAAGATTATATATATATATATATATATATATATATATATATAAATTTATTTTTAATTTTCATAATTTTATGAATGTATAATTTTAGTTTTTTTTAAATAATTTATTGTAAATTTGATTTTTAGTTTTTAAAGTTTATTCATAATTCATACGTCATTCAATTCTGGCAGATAGCAATACTACGAAGTCTACTTGTCGTATTTCCATGAGCCTCAGTCCAGGCCAGTCTTGACATTTTCTGGAGTTTAGGCAAAAATGACAAATAAGAGTCTTTTTATATATAAATATTTCAAAATACAAATATTTATAACATAAAAATATATATAATTTAATTAAAAATAACTAATTTTTATTAAATTAAAAATATTATAATGTTGATAAATTTTAAATATTATATTATATATTAAAATAAAAAAATCATGTCAAATTTAATATATATAATTTTAAATATAATATTATATAATTCAGTAATTAAAAATTGATCAAATTTTTATTATACAAAAAAAAATATTGAATAAATTTTTATAAAATTTAGTATAAGTATTTAATCAAACACGTAACTCATAAAATATATATAATTTAAACAAATCCGAACATTGTACGTATATATAAAATCGAATTATATTGTAACTTTGCTACCCTCGAGATGGCAGCCAATTGAGCTGGACTCTTATCTCGGATCTTCTTCAAAATAGGCTTAATTTGGAATTTTCAATTTCACATTTTCCTTCTTCAAACTATTTATAACCGAGCCCTCCCAATAAAAAAAAATGTTAATCATGTTCATAATATTCCTTTAGTTCAGTTTTAATTATAAAATCTCGTATATGCTACTTTAATTCTCACTACTAAACTAATTCCATTAAATTTCAATGAGAATTTCTCATACAAAATATGAAAATAATCTTACTCATTGTAGAAAATAACCTCCCTCCTTCTTTTTTAATACTTAAATAAGCCCACTATATTACACTTTTAATTTTACACGTGACCCGCACATCTAGTATATATTAAATAAATAAGTTATTTTATTCATACAAAAATTTATAATATTACTTTTTTTTTCTTCTCTTCTCTTTATGGCTTTCTTCCTACTTCATTACTAATTACATTTCATACTCTTCTCTCTTTATATTCCAAAGTTTGTTACACAGATTGTTATATGAAAATCATTTCTCATATATATAAAAAAATTTCTGGAAGTCATATAACGTGACTCCCCTAACTTAGGTCTTACTATTTTCTTATGGAATTTAATTCTACAACGTTAAGTAATAAAATACTTTCATAAATTTCTATAATTTTAATTTTTTATTAATTCAAATAAAATATTTCAGAACAGAAACTTTTAAATTCATAAAAAAATCAAGACTTAAAGATGTTTTTAACTTTTGTAAAAAGAACGAGTTCAAATTTTAACTCTTGTAAAATTTTATCTTTATTTTTCATTTCTCTAAAATTTTAGAACTATTATTTTTTTTGAAAAAATAAATATTATTTTTAATTCTCATTATTTTGTAATCATTTTTAATTATTTATTCATTTACTAAAAAATTAAGTGATCATTCTATATGTTACTTATTATAACTGCTAATAATATTATGTTGATGTCTATAAAAATTTAAAGATCTTTGAAATAATTACTATTTATTTATCAATGATCATTAGAGATCAAATATAATAACTTTATGTAGCAACCTCGGTCGCGACGGGACGGCGAAAAATAAATTGAAAAAGAGGAGTCGCCACCAATGTTATTTTTTACGGAAAAACATTGGAAAAACCATAAAATAAAAAATAGTCTGCGAAAACCAAATTTTTGAGTTCGGGAGTCGATTACGTGTGAGGAAGGTATTAGCACCTCACAACGTTCGTCCTAAGACGATTACCTTTAATTAATTAAACTAATTATTTATAATTTATAAAATATTTATCTCACTAAAATTATCAAATATATTTTATTTAACTAATTTAAATTATGCATTGAAAAAAAGGTTAAAATTATTATTGTTATATAAAAAGGAGGATAATATATTTTTTTATTTTTTGGCTCGACAAGATTTAGTTCTTGCTCCTACGTATCTTCACGTGTAATGAAGAATCAGAGTCACGTAGTTCTTTGATAGAAAATATTTGTGTGTTGATATTTTTAATTAAATTTTATTTTTGTTAAATATAGGATTCTTGAACTGTCTCAACTCATTCACCTAAAAATATAAAATTGACTAAGGTGTAGACCAAAGTCAATTTAATAAAATTTTAATTATAATTATTGCTAGAGATGTTATGATGTTAAAAAAATTTATTGGTTGAACATTTTTGTTTTTTTGGAAGAAAAATTTAAAGATAAGCTGTCACAACTTGTACTTTAAATTCAAAGGTTAAAAAGATGTCACATCTAATTAACCATTCCTCCAATAAAATTTTTAATACAATAATTTCAAATATTTACATTAAATATTGTAACACTATATTTGATCACATTTTAAATTTAAATAAGGACTAATGACAGATATAAAAAAAAATAAAAAGAAGTGAGTTTAATATACTCACAATTCTTCGCTACAGTAGCGGTAACTTGCTGGTCTCTTCCTCTGGGTTCCCTCTGGTCCAAGGTGAAGATGTGTGTGGGAAGGGTGTGTGTAGGTGTGTGTAGGTGTCTTTGGGAAGGGGAAGGGCCGCTATTTATAGACTTTCAGGAGGGACCGGAA